GTGAATCTCCCTTCTATTAACTTAATCACGCACGTAGCATTTTTTTTAGTGACATTTTTGTTCAGTCTCCTCCACTTAATCCAAACCACAATAACAATATCTCTCTTGCTCTCTCTCTCTACTTCCTTTTCTTTTCTCTGGTCACAATCGCTACGCAGAACGGCCATCTACATAAAATATGCATCCTCATCATTTCAACAAACGGACGAAATACAAGACGTACAAGGGAACATTGGAGCTTTCCAAAATTATGGAGGAATAAATACCAAAGCGAAAGTCTCAAGGTTAAACTGGAATATGGTTCTTCAATTTGGGGGAGAAAAAAAAAAAAAAAAAAGAAAAATATGGGAAGGTGTAAATTCGAACACTACGATACTACGATACTTTCCACTAAAAAAAGAAGAAGGAGTATGGTTCGAACACTACGATACTTTCCACTAAGAGCTTCCATAGTGGGAAGGTGTAAATTCGGGGTTTGTAAAGCCGCTTTTATATCCCATTTACACATCTCCTACAGATATAAATTACATTTTTGCTCCAATGGGTGAGATGTAAATCTAAAAAATGTAAATATAATTTTCTTGTATTGACTCTTTTTTGAGTTAACTAAGGGCAGATATAGGGCTGACGACTACTCTACAAATGTTGTTGTCTCTACAGTTGCCACTTCTATTTTCTGACCTTTTTTTTTTTTTGGTCAATACTCAATCGTGATGAAGTTTCCATTAAGATAATGAAGGCAAGCCATGAGTGGAAGCCGAGATACATCAAATGAAACCAGGAGTTCGTAGGCTAAAAGACATATCTAAAAGCCCCGAGACATAAAAAGAAAAGCAAACAAACACATAGACTTCGTAATTAAGTACAAACAGATCACCAAATGACAGAATGCCTTGATTAACAAGAAACAGACCATAATTAGCTAGACTCCTTAGCAATATCTATCACACAATAAGTTAATTGGTAAAAGTAACGATGCCATCCATGATGTTACACACCACCTCTTTAGACTCCTTGAGCTTTTTGATGCTCTTGATGAGCTTATTGCGCTTCACTGCAATTGATGGAGATTCCTCCATCATCCTCTCAATCCCAACACCATTGTTAGGTCCCATTAACTCACTCACAATCTCCGTCTTCATGTCCTTGTTCACAAGGTTCGAAACACTCAGCTGCAAATGCAAAGCCATAGAATCAATCAACCTTTTCAGCACAACATTCCAATATGCAGTCATCCGCATTTTCAAGTCGAAAGCTTCAGACAATAGAGAATGTGGGTACTTCATTAGACCTCCAACTTCAACCATCCCAATTCCCTCTACATTTATTTTCATCTCAGTGTGAGGTCCAAGTCCCAGATCATAAGAATTATGAAATACCTTTGTGATGAATGTTTCTTGTTCAGTCATGAGCCTATGCCATTCGGATACATATTCTGGATTGCATGTATAATCAGTCAGCTTCTCCATTTCCAAAATCTGTGTCATCCAATGAATGGACGTTTCTTTCATCCTCTGAATAAGATTTTGGCATGCTCTTCTGGCAGACAGTTGAAGCTGATAATATTTTTCTGTATTTCTCATTAACACATACAAAACCACATTCTCAATATAATTCCAAACCTTCTCTGAACAAACCTAAGAGGTATGCCTGAAATCCCCTTCACTTTTCTCTGCAAAATTATAAGAAAAGCATTGCGCTGAACAAAATTGGGAAGGTTGATACCTTTCACCTCCTCCAAAATCTCAATCTCCTTCATTAAGAAATTACTTTTGGAGTCACTCTCATTGCACTCCTGAAGTTGAAATGAGCACTGATTGAGCATCTCAACAAGCCTAGCCGTGGAATGCATTTGTTGGTCACCCGGGAACTCCTCAATTTCTCCCGTCAAAAGAATCTTCTTAAGTGATTCTTTGGATTCTTCAATGATCTGCATAAAAGCAGTCAAGGCCTCAGCAACAGTTGTCAGAGTTTTCGGCAATTTGTTGAGTTCTGAAAGGTAAGAATTAAGCTTGTCATTGATCTTCTTTACAATAACAGGCAAGTTTCTAGCTATGCTGGCAGCTTGAATTTGGACCAACTTGTCAGCCAAAACCTGAATTCCAACCATAGACTTATCAATCTTTGAAAGAAGGGGATGAGTTTTAAATAATCGATCCGCAGTAGCCCTCGCCTCCTCATACGTTTCATCTCGAATCCGGTTCCTTACGCAGACATAGCCAAGACCAATGTCCACATCATCAGCTGTAACCTTCTCCAGCAGTCCCTCTGGTGCCATGTCAACCTTTGTAACCACAGCCAGAGTCCTCTCACCAGTTTTGTCCACACTCCGCGACATACTAATTGACTCACATGTGCTAAAATCAGTAGAAGCAGATAAAACATTCAAAATGATGCTCTCATCTGGTTTTATATACTTCATGATCATATCTTTGATTTGATCATAGATATTCTCAGGCTGGCCATGAACTGGAACTCTAGTAATTCCAGGGAGGTCAACCATGGTCAAATCAGGCACACCATTCTTCTTCACCAACAAGGTCAATGGGGTGTCTGAAATTCCCTTTTTGTCCCCTGCAATCAGATTAGTGGCATTCACAATGTCTTCTGAAATGTTTTCCTCATCAGTCTGCTCAACTCTGCCATTGTACTCCAGTGAAAGCTCTGGTTTAGGATCAGAGTGGTGCTGAAGCCTCATTACGAGAGGAACCCTTGTGCAGATACCTTGTCCACGCGGTAGGCTGATGCTGGCGAGGGACTCAAGAACACTGGATTTGCCAGATGACTGGTCTCCCACAACAACAATGGTGGGCAGCTGGATGCCTTCCTCCATAACCATGAGGACGCGGAGCTTGTCAATGGCATCAAGCATAGGGCGAATTTTGTCGTTGTAGGATGAGACAATTGGCGCGTTGTTGAAAAGTAGCTGTGCTTTTGATGAGGAAAATGATAAGCCCTCTTGATCATCTTGTAAAATGGATGAGCTTGATGATCTGCTTCCTGAATCAGTTTGAGTTCTCTTTCCTCCCATTTTCTGAGATATAATTGAAAGCAAATGGGAAGAGGAAGTCATGGACAAACCGAGAGAGGAGAAAAAAAATTGAAGGGGGTTGTCTTAGGCAAACTTGACCTCTGCCTAACAGAGAAATCATGGATAAATAGAGAAAAAAGATACATGAACATGACATGCACAATGTGAAAGATGCAGACATAGGAATCTTTTACCTTAATATGGGAATTTATGCTTTGGTTTTTGTTTTACATCGGAAGGGAACTTATGCTTTTGTACATCAAATAGTGGCCGAAAATGCTTGAACCACTCACTTCAATAATGCATGACAAGTTACAACACAAAATGGTGTCTACACTATCAAAAGTATCAGTGAAGTTCTCTTTAGTGTTCACACTATCACACGAATTTAAACGCAAGAATATAAGAGTGAAAACTTTTAGACCATCTCCAAAGGTAAAAGACTCAAACCCGAACTTTCACCTCCAGAAATACAACTTTTCATTTATACATAGGACTCAAACAGTTTTTTTTTTTTTTTTTTTTGTGGGGAGAGGATGGCAGGCCTTGTTGTGGCTTCACCCCTGTGCAAGTGGGTGATAGTATTACTCCAGAATATGGACCGGTGTATCTACAGTAACGGCGCGTGGACTTTTATGTTATCTTGGACTCCCGTGTGCCTTCAAATATGAAGGCCTCAAAATAGGAGTTCAAATTTAAGTGATTAGAATAGATGAGATCGCTATGTCATGTGCAATATATTTTAAAATATATGATATATAGCAATACATGTACTGCAATTAGATTACTGCTGGCGCTTTCAGAAAATGAAAAACCTATGTGTAAGTTATTTTGTAATTTTGGCCCCCTCCATGCTAAGAATCCTAGCTCCGCCACCGCACTTGCTTATTACATTTCGTGTTCTTAAGAAATCTACATATTATATTCAAGAATCAAGCTCAATCGCATAATAGTAAGAAAAGGAAAAGACTCAATATTTAGAGCACACTTGGAGCCCTAAGTGGTGTGCTCTCCAAGAGCATAGCATTTCAGGGCATGATCAAGCTGATCATCTAGTTTCATATAGGACTTGCACTCTTGCTTGTTTGAAGCCAAAAGAGAATTCTTATTAGGATAGGCACGATTCATATTTACATGGTTAAGAGCACAATAGAAAACGAGGGTGCATTTGTCGTTAACATCTTCAACGAGAGTGGAGATTTTATCATAGGGAAGTGTCACTTTGCGTAGTGCAAAGGCCCTGCTATGCTATGTGCTCGTCTGTTAGAGTCTGCCTACGTACAATTTTTTGAGCTCAGTATATTCCTCTCATAAAAATCATGAACGGCTCAATTATAAGAAATTCGTTTGGAATGGTGTATATTTGGATAATAATTCTTAAAGAAATTCTATCCAAAAACAAAAAAAAACCATTATGTTGGTTTTAACGCCCTCTTAAAAAATAATTGTATATTTAGATTACTCAAACGAGAATTTTTACTGTTGACAAAAAAAAAAAAAAAAAAACAGAAGAAACACAAAAAGTTGCAAATTGCAACCTCTGTCGAACGGACAAGAAGGCCCACTAGATCCCGCCGTTGAATCACCACCGTTCTGTTCAAACAGCCAAAACGAACTCAGCATGCCTCCAATCACCAATCCGCTGACTTATTCAACCGTTTCGAAAATCGGCTGCAACAGACACATCTTTTGCGCCAAATTTACAACCTCATTTCACCAATCAAAAGACCAAATGTTAACGTGTAAGTATGGCAATGATGAAGCTCAATGCATCCCGTGATCGAGAATGCACCGAATCCCAGCACCGTGCAATGGTAGGAAATATCTAGAAATTTCTCCAAAAGTGGGGCCAGCATTTGACCTCTCAGCCACGTGACTTTGACGACCCTCACCGTCTGATCCGATCCGTTTTCTAAGCGCTTTTATTTATTTATTTCTTCAACATTTTTATTTTCTCTCTCTAGATTTTTATTTTTTTTCTCTCTAAGCGCAACCCAACACCCTGGCCCTCATTTTTCCCTCTCTTTCTCTCTGCAACCAAACCCTAAAAAACGCCAAGGAAATCTGAAATCCATTGCCATTGGATGATGCGAGAGAGCGCCGGTCGACGCCGTCGAAGCCCAGAGAAGCAGTGGTGGGCGAATTATCCGGTGCGGGCGTGAGCATTGTGAAAATCGTGTGCAAACCAAACAAACGATTCCAATGGCTGAAGAGAAAGGGAGCAATTCTTGAAGATTGTTAAAAAGGAATTTGAAAATTAAAAAGATTGAGTTTTTTTCGTTGGGGGTGCTTAGCATGTGTGATTTAGTGGCCCGTACGGGTCGGCATCAGCAACGCTACGAGGCCGGTTGTCGCCTTGTTGCCGGGTACTTACATTTCTTCGAATCTATATTTTATATATTTGCATATGTGTATGTGTATGTTTGATTTTGATTGATGTTGATGTTGTTTGTTTATGTGGTATTTTGGTGGTGGAGGTGGACCAATGTGTTTCCATAGTTGGAGAATTTTGCTTGTGATATGGTTTTCCGATTTTGTATAATATCTTTTGATTGGTTGATGCCTACCATTTGGATTTTTAAGTGGTGGGGATTAATGGGTTTCTTTTGTTTTATTGTGAGTGATATATACATGGTTATTATATGGGGTAGGTGAGAAATGCTGTTTTATTAGGACAAGCAATGAACTTGTGTTATGTGAGAATGATCTATATTTTTTTCATCTGAAATCTTTGTCGAATCACATATGAACGTTTTCTTCCATTTGCAAATCTTTTTGGCCTTCATTAACTATGTCATTTACTTTTTGAGGATTAGGGAAACTAGGAATTTTTTAAAATGGTGATGCAGTAAATAAGATTATTTCGGTGATACGATTTGGGTAAATTGTCATTGAGGCAATGATTGTGGGCAAGGACCCTACTTCTGAAATACAAAAGTGGCCTTGTGAGGTGAATTTCTTATTACATGAAGACATGCTGTAATCAGGAAGTCAAGGAGTTGAGTTAAACAAAAATTTGAAAGGAAATGATGTTCCATTATTTATATGTCCAAATTTCATGCAGAGGGCCTAGGGAAGTCAAAGCTTCTAGCCACCTACTTGGGCAGGGCTTTCTGTATAGTATATTATACTGCGATCAGTAGTTTTTGTCAGCTGCTGCTAATTTTTTAAAACAATGGTCCTGCCATATGTTCTTTAAGAGGCCGCTCTTTTATTTTTGGGTGATCTGTGCGATTAGATGAAATAGGCTGTTTTAGTTTTCTCTGTGTTAAAATGATGGGCTGTCGATCACACATATAAAGGATGAGCTTGGTAGTATGACGATAAATAAATTGTTTGCCAGGGCCGAGAGATCATGCAGACATTCATATATAGATCAGATTCTCTCTCTCTCTTTTTTTTTTTTTTTTTTTTTGTTGGTGTTTTTTTGTTTTTTGTGTTTTTTTGTTTTGTTTTTTTTTGGGTAACCGATCTTAAATTAGCTTTGATTTTATTTGCTGGTACATTTATCTGTGTGACCAATTATTTTTTCTCTGATGTGAAGAAGCTAACTCAGTTAACCTTTGACAGGTGTATTCCATTTAGATACAAAAATTCTGATGAGACTGGTGATGCCAATTCTGAGAAGATTATTGAGGTGCTTATGATTAACTCACCTAGTGGACCAGGCCTTTTGTTCCCAAAGGTATTTCTTGTTTTCTGTTGGCATTTAAATTGTTGGACTTGGTGAGATATTTCTTTCTGAACTTTAGTTTTAGGAATAACTTATTTTTAGATATAATTTATTTTTCTTCTGTCGTCTTACTAATAGATACATGATAAAAATGAGTTTAAAGGTGTGAAAAATGTCACTCTCAAAGTAATCTATGATTGAGGGTTGGTGGATAGCAACTTGAGGTTGATAAGATTGCTTTTCTGGCTAACATTTATAAGAGGTAAAGCTATTGTCTTTTCTTGTGTCACCTTTAGATACATTTAAGTACCACTGTAATCACCCGGTGCTTTAAAAACTTAGAACAGAAAATATCTGCCATTTTCTATTGGCTGTAAGTGTATCCCAGTTACCTCAGTTATCAACATGTAGGACGCATTCTCTTTACCTGCTATTTGGGTGGGTTATTTTCAGAGGCTTCATAGAAATCGTCTATTAGACCTTCTATTTTTCTGATCAAGTATGACAGTAGTTTGTTTTTGGAGAAAAATGAATTTGTTAAGAGACATGGGCAATAGTTCTATTTCATGATTCAATTAATTATTAGGCCCTTAGATATATTTCCTCACTTTTGTTTTGACATCTGTAATTTTTAGCTGGCAACAGAACTATGGTTATGATTTATCATTTGCCCAAGATATGCGAATGTAGATATGGATGCATTTTGTTGTGATGTTATAGTACCCTCTTTTATAATTGGAACTAGATTAACACTTTTGGACTTTTGTTCTTCTGATTTTAATTTTGTGAGAAGAAATATAGTCAACTGGTTCCGTATAATTCTGTGTTTATTGTTGAGTTTATGAAAGATTTAATTGTTTAGGTGATGTTATGTTTGAAATGTGATGACTTCTTTGTGGACATGCAATTCGAAGTTGAGTTTACACTTGGTAAAATATTCATGATCTGCATACCCATAGAGTTATAAACTCTCTTGTGTTTTCGTTTGTTGTTTACCCTTTATGATATTCGAAGTTTGTGTGAAAAACTAGTGAGTTTTAACACTGGGGGTGGTAATTTGGATTTCATTAAATGAAATGAGGAACTACTTCGGAAAGTAAAAAATGACAGCACTTAGATGTTTCAGTTTTGCAGCTTCTTACAAATTGGGGCTTATTTTATGGTGTATTCTTGCTTTATTGATTATTATTGTGTCCTGTCATGCGTATTGTAAGTTAGGTTGTGATTGTTCAAATGTGGAATGTATGTAGTGGGCATGTGAAGTGCTCACATGTTCTTGTTTACTGTTGATTTGGGAGCTGTAATATATAGTGTATCGGAAAGTTGAAGGCGATGTGAATTTGAAATATTGGGATGGTGTTGAAGGTGTACTAGAACATATGTTTACATTAGGAATGCTGGAGATATCAATAGAGACTTTATGTCTTTAGTGTTAAGCACAAGTTATATAACTCAGTATTTTTAAAAGAGGACCTAGGAGTGATTGCTACATTCTTGAGGTGAAGAAGATTATTCATTTTTTTAATGAAAACTTTACATATACTTTGCAATATCGATAATATGTAGATTTATTGCCAAGGCTTCCACCAGTTTATAACAACTATTATGTGCTTCCTCCAGGTAGGATATACGTAACTCTTTTATTTATAAATATGTTACCCACTTGCAGGGAGGCTGGGAAAATGATGAAACCGTTGAGGAAGCTGCAGTAAGGGAGGCTGTTGAAGAAGCTGGAGTTCGAGGAGAGCTAATGGTGAAATACATCTTCTTAACTTTTATTTGTTCTAAGATTTATTCTGTGAAGGGGGTAGAATAAAGTTGTATTCTTAGCATTGAATATTTGCATGTGTTTTGATACTTGTCTTTTACCAAAAAAATTTATATTTGTTGTCCTGTCTTCCCAATAGATGGTTAAAGCAGAGCAACTGTTAATCTTTTTGAATTTCAGGATTTCCTGGGCTTTTATCATTTTAAGAGTAAAACACACCAGGATGAGTTCAGCCCGGAAGGTGTATGTAGAGCTGCTATGTTTGCTTTGTTTGTCAAGGAGGAGCTCGAGTCGTGGCCCGAACAGAGCACCCGAAATAGAACTTGGCTGACTGTAGCAGAGGCCTTTGTCAGTTGCCGGCATGCATGGATGAGAGAGGCCTTGCAGGATGGCTTCTCAAAGTGGCATGCAGAAAAGATGATTAGTGCAAGGAATGATGTAACATTGAGTTGCTAGTTGGGGTGTGTGAGGCTGAACAAAAAGTCGTTTCGGGTGCATGCTCATAGACATGAATACAGGTGCTGGAATTGGTTTTTTTTGGGGGCATTTTTCTATTTTTCAGTTGGTCATCAAGTAACAACCTCTTAACAATATTAACTGTTCAAAATTACCTAGTCACTGCCCCATAAAATTTATTCTTGTTTCCAGTTGATCTCTCTGATATTTAAACTCAGAGGGTCAAGTTTCAGCTTCCCTGTATAACATTTTCTGTTGCATAAACGTTTAATTGCCATATTCTCTAGTGGTGCATTATTGTAAAGTTGGAAACAAATTTCCAAAGATCATTCTTTACAAAGCTTTTGCGAATTAAAGCGTTAGGTTGCAGGGTGGGACTGGTACTCAGAGTTTTATAAGTACCCTTATAAAGCTTTTCAGATCTCATAAGATCCAACGGACAGAGATAAATTTGAACAATATGCACCACATATTGAAACAAAAATAAAAAAATCATTAAATTATGTGGAGTATGATGTGAATTAACAGCACATAAGTTTATTTCTTCATCTCATGACAAGCGGAAGTGATTGACAATTACACTTGGGTTGCAAGCAGCAACTGCAAGAAGCATCTCATAACGTTCAAATCCAGCTATCACTTGCTCTTCCAAGGTCACCAAAGCTTCAATATAGTATTAACCAACATTATAGGTTTTTGTAGACATAGGAAAGGTGACCTGAATGGGATTCCCCTACCCAAAATTCTCATCATATAATGGAAATTTGCAAAACATGTACAACAAAAGATATCGAATCCCATCCTACCAAGTTCAATCCAAATAGAGAGTAAACAACCCAGTATTTGACAATCATTCTTGACGTCCATTCCATCTTGTTCGCTAAGGTCAGTTTGAAAGCAGAGAGAACATCATCCTCAGATCAACCCCATCCTATAAACTTTGCGACTTCGATTCATATCGCCTTATTCAAGCCACAAAATACACATACTACAGACACAAAAGTTGGTTTGTCAGACCAAAACCTGTTGAGGGAAAACAAATATCTCCCAAGACCAAATAGGAGCTGTTTTTATTTTTTTTTTATTTTTTTTTTCAATAATAGGGTTGGGGAATCTAAACTTGGGATCTATTCCAACATCGGTGAGATAGAACATTTCCTCCAAAATTATTAGGGGGAAGTGCGATGTGTACTACTGTAGATAAGACAACTATACAACATCATAAAAAGCAAATGAAGCATCACATTCTCCATATCATAAATAATGAGCTTACATATTTGTTTATTCATCAAACATTGATAAGCCTGTAACTACTGATAAATCACAGCATGCATACGAAGGACAGTTGAAATAACAAGCTTTTCTCATGACCTGCAGCACCGTTGTGCAGGCATTTTAAGTTCTGTTTCAATCAAAGTTAGAAGCATTACCTGAAAACTATCATCCAAGTAAAGAATAAACAAGTGCTTTGGAGACAGAAACAGGTTACCCAACTGCAAATGATTCGAGAGGAGAAGCAATAAAGAAGTAAAATGATCCCCAACATACCACTCTCTTGATCTCAGAAAATCTCCAGAAGTTTTCAAACAGATTCATTTGTCTCCACAGATAACAATTGCTAAATGACTCCTGAGTATCCCATTAAGTCTGGACCTTTTGTCCCTTAAGGAACCCAATCATCAGTCGCAGTTGCTGAGTTTTCTTTTCTTTTTTTCATAAGACAAGAAATCCCATTCTTACGGAATCACAATGACGTAATGATGCTTACCCAGGGCCAGCTGCTTGTGGGGAACAATTATTAACAGAGCAGGAATAAAGGTCTGAAAACCATTGCAAGATACCATTAATATAGCCCGTGCACACACATACAAATCAAGAAAGTGTGCGAAACTTATATTTCATATGCTCTCTCTGCCATTGACTCAAAGAAAAGGTAGAGTTATAGGATTGGAATATCATTATGGTAGTGCACTCACTCTGGATTCATCTCTTCGCAAGGCCACTAAGTAGAAAAATAAACTGAAACAGCAATAGAAGAGTAGACAAAAGAAACATATCGGTTAGAGAACTGATATCGTCTAATTTGAAAAGTAGACAAAATAAATTGTTGTTTTCTCTCCTCTCCAGAATAGTTAAAGCAAGACATGAGTGTATTCTATCAAAAGCAATTTTCCAAGCAAGACCGTGCAGCATCAAGGGGTTAAAAAGTTGCAACATCATATGTCCTGGATATCCACTTTTCCTTGGTATACACACAACAACTGAGGTACTTCACCCAGATAACTGTCAACAAATCTCTCCAAGAACTCCTTCTCCACAGGTCCAAACACAGAATATAAGCTCAGTTTTTCAGAATTTATCAATCCTTTCGACAACAAAACTGTAACAACTGAACACCTCGGGATGATTCTCTTCTGCAAACTATAATTCAAAACATATGGGGACTTGAGAATTATTTCTGACGACCATCCCATCTTGTTCACTAAAAGATCCATTGTTTGCATTATTTTCTTCTCTGACAGAGCAATACACTCCGGGCGCCTCCTGAAAGCGGAGAGAACATCAGCCTCCGACCAACCCCACCTGCTATAAACTTCACAATTTCGCTTCAATATCCGCTTATAATATGAACGACACATTATGCTTATTGCCGACACGGAAGTCGACTTTTCCAGGTTAAAACCCATTTCCTTAACCTCTTTCACAACTTGGCGAAACTTTTCAGTATCATGTATCAAAGCATGCGTACAATGAGCTAGCAACAGAGAAATGCATGATTCAGGCATACCTAATTCTCTCAAAATCGCGATATTTGGCACTACTTTCTTGGTGTGGGCTTGCAAGAAAATCGACGAGTTGTACTTGAAAACAGAAACGATATTTTTCTCAGGAAGCAGACTCCTCAGGAAATTATAAGTGGGCACAAGCTGTTTCTCCAAGCTTCTTTGCAAAAGATTTGGATTCAGAACCAGCGTTTTTGCGAGGTCCTCCCTTGAAACTCCAAGAGAGCTGAAAAACTCAAGCTTTGGCAAAAGGGTTTGCTCAGGCCTGGCTAAAAGAAGTTGTGGGCGGGTTTTGCAAAACTTTGAGATCTGGATTGTAGAGAATCCATGGTTTCTCAGAAGACCCAAAACGGTGTCTGCATTTTCTGGGGACTGCAACTTGATCCACTTAGATGTTGAAATCGCATCTTCTGGCGACAACCCACATGAGGTTATGAGGTAATTGACGGTGAAACTGTGTTGGTCTTGTGAGATTTCTGAGGTGAACTGTCTGCAGAGTATCCGATTTTGAACAGAAAAATGTGAGGGTTTTAGATCTCCAGCAATCAATATTTCAGTTCTGGAAGCAAATGTAGAAGGAGATAATAAACAAACCAATCTGAGGCTCTTAAACTTGGAGAGCGGTACCATGGTAGAGGTGGATGATGATTGTTAGGAGCGTAATGGCTAGAGAAAGAAAAGGAGAGGAAATAGAAATTGGAGATTGACAATATTCTCATTCATGGCAAGACTCAACTCAGCGCAAAGTTATATACAAGGTATGATTCCTACACGTGCCTAATCATCTGGATATAAGAGCATCTCTAAGAGCAGCTCCAGCGCTGCTATCAAACTGGGTAAAAGGTCCCCGGGCAAGCCCAATACAGCTCCAGCGTATCACTTGCAGCCCGGGCAAGCTCTGGGTCCCACCAGCTCGGGCAAACCCAAGGGCAGATTTTGCCTGGGCTTCAGCCCGAGGGCGCTGATGTTATGTTGACGTCAGCGAGCAAAAAAAAAAATTTAAAAAATTCAATTTTTTTTAAAAAAAAAACCAAAAAATTATGGATGTTTTCCCTATAAATACATAACAATTTTATATTTTGTTGCATATATATATTTTTTTCTTGCCCTTGACTTGCCTTAGACTTTGCCCTCATGGGTGGAACCACAAATGCAAAGGCTGACACTATTCATGTGGAGAACTATTCATTGTACTTTATTTCCTATTTTTTTTATACTTTAAACTATTAATTTTGATAATCTTTTGTAATTAAATTTTCGGATAAGATTTTCACCCTCTAAAATTGTGCCACGTGTCCCATATCATATACGATTTTCAGATATTGAAAAAAAATTATAATATCAGATTTCAGATAAAATTTTCACCCTCTAAAATTGTGCCACGGA